AGAATCATTCATGATGTAATGATTATCATCTTAATATGATTAGATTCTTAAGAAAATTGTTTTCTTAAAAATATGAAAATGATTGGTAATAAAACTTTGAGTCCAAGTTAAAACGTTGGTAATATTCGAATTTGCCCAACATTCCCTTCTTCTTTTGGCATGCCTTAGAAAGATTACATATATAATATTACAACTATCTTGGTACAGCAGTAATGTTAGGGAGTCAACTGTTGGCTCCCTAACGGAGCCAACAGCCAATGGGATAGCTCCATGTGGGGCTATTTCACATTAGAGTCATGTGGGACAGCCCACATGGAACTGTATAATTGGTTGTTGGCTCCTTAGCATTACTGCTTGGTACATATTAGCCTTGTAAAACAAAATATAACACTTCATTATTTTTTTTATTTTTTATTTATCAATTAAATGTCACATTTTGTAGATGTAAGATATATTGCAACTAGAGGCGTAACTGAGCCGAGCCAAGCTCGAGCTCGAGCTTAGGATGCTTAAGCTCGAGCTCAAGCCCTTGACGAGCCGAGCCGAGCTCGCTCGTTAAGTAAACGAGCCTGAAATTGAGCTAGAGCTCGGGTCGTTAAGACCTCGAGCTTGAACCTTAACGTGTCAATCTCGAGTTTTAACGAGTCGGACTATAAATAATTATATAAAAATTCTATTTTCGAGCCTTAACAAGCCTTATCGAGCCGAGCCAAACGAGCTTTCAATGAGCTCGAACTCTGCTCGTTAAGGCACCGAATTCGAGCCGAACTCGAGCCTTCATGAGCCGAGTCGAGCCAGACTCATTTAATTTAACAGCACTAAATGCAACTTCAAGAAAACAAATAGTTCGATCTAGCGAACCAAACCAGCATGAGATATGAATGAAACTTTTTAAAATTTTTAATAATTAATGTGGTATTATCCTTCCACATTAAAAAAATGAAAATAAAAAAAGAGAATGACAGAAAAGTATAAAGCTTTAAATGCACAATACCTTTGACCACAAAACTCCAAAATAGAAATGCCATTTGCCAGCTAAGGATATTTTAATTGATCCAAAATCGCGAAGGGCTTTGGCAGATTGTAAGAGTGAAAGAAACGCCCATATTTTTCCAGCACAAAACTACAAAATTGCGCTAAAGTACAAATTTACTACGTGTCGACATATTATGGGAGTCTAAGTGAAAATACCGGTTAACTCCCTAAACAGCCAAAAGGCTTCCACGTGGCTGCACGTGTCTACCTCCGAACTCCCGCGTGTTTTTTTTTTTTTT